ACACCACAATAAATTTATGTTTTTGTTAAATTTATCTGTATGCGTAAGGTTGAAGAATTAAAAGTTTCATATCTGATTCCGGAGGAGTTTTTGGTATTCTCATAAAGAAATGGCAGTATCTGAATTTTAGACAATAACATATTTGCAAGGAATTTCTTGATTGGACTATTCCTGAAACCCTAAGTTCACAATTTGCACTTTTAAATCTAAAATATCTATATATAAACATACAGATATATTATTATTATTATTATTATTATTATTTGAGACTGATTCTCACTCTTTTGCCCAAGCTGAAGTGCAATGGTGCAATCTTGGCTCACTGCAACCTCTGCCTCTTGGGTTCAAGCAATTCTCCTACCTCAGCCTCTCGAGTAGCTGTGATTACAGGCATGTGCCACTGCATCCAGCTAATTTTTGTGTTTTTTGCAGAGATGAGGCTTCACCATGTTGGCCAGGCTGGTCTCGAACTCCTAACCTCAAGTGAGACAACCGTTTCTCACTCGCAAAGTCTTGGGATTACAGGTGTGAGCCAACATGTGCAGAATAATATACATACATAAATAAATACATAAATACATGTTTATATGCAATATAAACATGTATTTTACATGCTTATACCTCTGAAAATTAGGATTTTTAATTTCTCTCGAATGTTTACTCTTAATTCTAACCTTAAAATTTTATCTTTAAAATTTCAAAAGAAAGATAACAAAATTCAAGAAATGATAGTTGAAATAGGCATCTCTAACATTCAGTTACCTAGATGTGTAACCTAAGAAAACTGTATGCTGGACGTGGTGGTTCACGCCTGTAATCCTAGCACTTTGGGAGGCAAAGGTAGGCAGATCACCTGAGGTCGGAAGTTCAACACCAGCCTGACCAACATGGAGAAACCCCATCTCTACTAAAAATACAAAATTAGCCGTGTGTGATGGTACATGCCTGTAATCCCAGCTACTTGGGATGTTGAGGCAGGAGAATCGCTTGAACCCCAGAGGCAGAGGTTGCAGTGGGTCAAAATCATGCCATTGCACTCTAGTCTGGGCAACAAGAGTGAAACTCCTTATATAAAAAAAAAAAAAATTCTGTAAGATAGATGCATTCGCACAACTCACATGCAGGTAGAGTGCTTCATTAGTGTCTCTGTTTATAACAATGAATTAAAGACATGAATTTGTTGGCCAAAGATACCATCTTCAAACATATACCCATTATAACACCAACCATGATTAAAAGCATATAACATTGGCCAGGCACGGTGGCTCTACTAAAAATACAAAATTAGTCAGGCTTGGTGGAGCGTGCCTGTAGTCCCAGCTACTCAGGAGGCTGAGACAAGATAATTGCTTGAACCTGGGAGGTGCTGGTTGCAGTGAGCTGAGACTGTGCCTCTGCACTTCAGCCTGAGCAATAAGAGCAAAACTCCGTCTCAAAAAAATAAATAAATAAAATGGGATAGGTATTATCATCTGTTTCTTATGCATATATAATATAGACTTTTATAAACTAATGCTCAAATTCCCCTGCACTATAACTTTATGTATAGATACATATATCATTTCAGATATGGGGTTTTACTATGTTCATCAGGCAGATCTTGAACTCCTGGCCTCAAGCAATCCTCCCTTCTGGGCCTCCCAAAGTGTTAGGATTACAGGCATGAGGCACCCTGTCCGATCAATTTGTAGTATAACTGATAAAACAAGTTTTCTTCACTAATAACTTGAGTACTTTTCAAATATAATTAATTATTCATGGAAATAATGATAGGCTTAAAAGTATTCGCACTTTTTAAACTGAGTTTGCAAAATCCATATAACATAAAACTAACCATTCACCATGCAGTGCAAGCATTACCACTGTCTAGTGGCAACTTGTTTTCATTACCACAAAAGAAAGTCCTGGACTGATTAAGCAGTCATTCCTCATTCCACTCTCTTCCCAGTCCCTGGCAAAATCTCATCACTTTCCCTCGCTACTAATCATCACAATAAGTGGCCTTGTTCGTCTTGCTTCTTTCACTTAGCAGGTTTCAAATTTCATATATTGGTTATCTATCTCTTTGATAACTATCTCTTCGATATGGATCTCTGTTGTTGTACCTTCATCCACCCAATTAATCACCTGAAGTAGACAATTCGAGGCCATGAAACTTACTGGACTTGTAACCGTGTTAAGTAAATCATACCCATATACTCTCAGTGAGGAGTATATTTAATTTCTTTCTTTCTTTCTTCTTTCTTTCTTTTTTTCTTTTTCTTTCTTTCTTTTTTCTTTTTCTTTCTTTTCCTTTCTTTCTTTCTCTTTCCCTTTCTTTCTTTCTCTTTCTTTCTTCTTTCTTCCCCTCCCCTCCCCTCTCCTCCCCTCCCCCCTCCCCTCTCCTCCCCTCCCCCCTCCCCCCTCCTCCCCCTTCCCCCTTCCCTCCCCTCCTCCTCTCCCCTCCCCTCTCCTCCCCTTCCCTCCCTTCCCCTGTCCTCTCCTCTTCTCTTCTCTTCTCTTCTTGAGATGGAGTCTGGCTCTGTCTCCCAGGCTAGAGTGCAGTGGCAGGATCTCTGCTCACTGCAACCTCCGCCTCAGCCTCCCTAGTAGCTAGAATTACAGGCGGGCGCCACCACACCTCCCTATTTTTTTATATTTTGGGTAAAGACAGAGTTTCAACATGTTGGCAGGCCTGGTTTTGAACTCCTGACCTTAAGTGATCCATCTGCCTGGGCCTCCCAAAGTGGTGGGATTACAGAGCCACTGAGCCTTGCCAGAATATACTTAATTTCTGAAAGAACAAGATTCCTGATAAGCATGGGTAGTTTAGGCCTCATTTTGATTTCAGATGAAAAAAAAAATAAAGAAAATGTCAACAGTAAGATCAGGTTGCACCAAACTTGACAAATCTCCAGGCCATAAAGATTAGTGGCGCCTTTGTCTCTGGGTGGCGTTTTTTCCAACAAGAAGGGCGGGAGAAAAGGGCGCCAACATAGGGTTTCTTTGAAAATATGGCGCACTACTGCCACCGCGAGGAAATCGTTTAACGGTGGAATATGCCATTTCACCATCCTTCCCAGGAAACCTTGCTGTGGGGGAAATTCTGATTTCTGGGAAGGTGAAAGTGGCTTGGGCACCAGGCTAGGTCTTCTTGCCCTCTCCTTTAAGGCCTGAAGAGAGGCCTGGGCATTGGCAGTACCTTAGTGTAGAACCTGGAGGGTGAGGGTCTTGGAGTGAAGCAGCAGCTGCCAGGCGGTCCTGGTACAGGAAGTCGTGGAGTGGAGCCTCGGTTCCTCCTGGTGTGGGCGGGACTGCAGGAACCCACTGAAACACACATGGAGGCTCTTGTGGGCATCTGGCTCTTCCTCCTGACCCTTGGAGTAAGAGTCAGCAAGCTTTCTCATGCTGACATCTTGCTATGGATCTTTGGATTTGTGGTAAAATCAGTACTGCTCACAATCAACAGGGTTATTCCAAGAGACGTTTACAGGATTTGCCATTAGAACCTTCACTCTCAAGGCTCTATACCAAGATACCGCCAATGTCCAGGTCTCTTTTAAGGCCTTAGACAAGTAGGCAAGGACTCCCAGCATGGAGGCTAAGCCTTTCACTTCTTATAAGACCACATCTGCCCCAGCAGGTCGTCCTCACAAGAACTCTGTAATGGCGTAGAGATTCCTTAAACGACTTCCTCGCGATGGCAGTAGTGCTCCATATATGCCAAATAGCCCGCCTCGGCACTCACTTCTCCCGCCCTTCCTGTCTGGAAAAACGCCACACATAGACAAAGCGCCACTAAATGTAGATGCCTTATATTTTGCCCAGTTTGGAGCCAGCTGGTCTTACTGCTGTGCTTTTTCTTTTTGTTTTCCACTTGAAATGAAACCAATGCCTAAACCACCCGCCCTCATCAGCAATCTTGTTCTTTCAGAAATTATTCTCCTGACCTAGTCTGTGTGGGTTTCATTTACTTTAGAGTTACAGGTCCAGTAAATTCCGTGCCATCAAACTGTCTTCTTCAAGGGATAAATTGAGTGGATGAATTCACATAAAAAGGAGAAAAGGGCTGAAAGCTTGTAAAAGATCTTCTCCAGCAACAATTTAAAAATCCCAGAGGTCTTTGCCCTGGCTCCCCTGGTTGGACATCCAGGGAGTTCTCCACATTCTAAGAGTCTTCTGTGGAGAATTGTAGGCAACAATTTGGCATGAGCCATTAGAGGAGAAACCAGGTGATGCTCATTACTGCGTGTCATACATACTCCACATGGCATGATATTCACAGTTCAATTCCTGTCAAGGTGACTCAGAGTTTCGTCTCATGGTCTCAACATTCAACATTAAAACACAGCATGTTCCCAGGTCATTACATATTCTTCAAGAATTACCTGAGAATTTATGGGCTGTGTGTGTTTGTGTTTGTGTGTCTCAGAGTTTTACAATTTGTCTTTTAGGTATAAGGATTAACTTGTAAATTAAATAATAATGCTTGACAAATATTAAGATTAGTCCACGTATTAATAACAAAGAAAACTGCTATCATACAACTAGTCAAGGAAGCTCATGAATTTTTGGATTATTTCAAGGAATCTCTTTAGATATGTATATACATCGTTAATTTTATGAAAAAATAAATCTGTATTAAAAGTGGATTACTGTGTACACTGTGGTTTGGATCAGATCAAGTGTGCATTTTAATAAACCTTTGAGGAGCGCGAATTCATTTGAATGTTACCAGTACTAAGTCTTATATGTCAACATTTCATCCTTCAGTATGAATAAAGGTAAATCTTAAAACAGGGCCTCAGGAATATTACTTTAGAAAAGTAGCACTATCAACTTTTTGTTTGAATTTTTACCGATACGTTACCATATGTTTCAAAACAAAAGGCTGTGAAGAGACAAAGACATCAGAAACTACAGCTACGTAATATTTTGCTCAATATGTGCAAACAATTTCCGCTCTTAAACATTTGCTTTTGGATTCCTTTGGATATTGAACTGAGATGTGATCCACTCACCCTCATCAAGCATCTTCTCTGTTTAAGAACTCAGTTTCTGCACAATGAAGTCTACCCATTTCTACTCTTCTTCTTTCAGCATCCTATCTGCAGTGCTTTATTATGATACTAAATAGTCTTGTAGTATTGGGAACAGACCTTTGGGATCCATGCCTAAGGAGAGAAGAAAAAAATAAAGCTTAGCCCTAAGGTCTTGGAGAAGAGCAAATCTAGGCACGAGGCCACGTGGTTATTGTCCTGACTCCCTCCCCAGGTTCCCTGGGAGTTTTACCCCACATTCTGACTTAGTCAGTAGGCCTTATACGTTGAGGGGGAAGCCGCTATTTAGTGGGATGCTAACATAAGCATCCATGTAGCTCTCAAGCCTGACAAACATGCATAGCCCTATGTGAATGGACACAAATACAGGAATGACTATAAATTCTAATCGGATAAATTACAGGATTTTGTCTCATGGTTTCATTATTTAACATTGGAACAGAAATATTTTCCAGTGTCATTAAAAGGCTATGACTGGCTGGGTATGGTGTCTCACACCTGCAATCCTAGCACTTTGGGAGGCTGAGGTGGGTGGATCACTTGAGGTCAGGAGTTCGAGACCAGCCCAGCCAACATGGTGAAACCCCATCTCTAATAAAATACAACAAAATTAGCCAGGTATAATGGTGCATGCTTGTAATCCCAGCTACTCAGGAGGCTGAGGCAGGGGAATTGCTTGAACCCAAGGTGGAGGTTGCAGTGAGCCAAGCTCATGCCACTGCACTCCAGCCTGGGCAAAAGAGTGAGACTCTGTCTGTCTCAGAAAAACAAACAAAAACCAAAAAAGGCTGTGACTTAGGACTGCCTCTTATGACTTTGTTGTGTATGTATCTTACTGTTTTTCATTTAGGAATCAGTCCTATACTTTCTCATTAGTAATGAAGACATGGAATTTGCAATGAAGTGAAAAATAACCATGTGCTGATCCAGAGAAAAGCAATGTCATAAAACTGTATACTAAACAATATTAACCGTTTCCATATTTACTCCAATTTTTTGATACACAGATAAAACGTTCTATATATGCAGTCAAACACCACAAAAAAATTTACATTTTACTTCAATTTAGCTATACATAAGATTAAAGAACTAAAAGTCTCACCTCTGATTCCTGAGGAGCTTTTGATATTCTCATAAAAAATTTGCAATATCTGAATTTTAGGCAATAAAATACTTGCAGGGAACTTGTGATTGGCCTATTCATCAAAACATAAGATCTTAATTTACACTTTTAAATCTAAAATATATGTATTTATACATACACAAGCATATAAATACATATTTATATACAGTATAAACATACGGATTATACATAAAAATACTTCTAAATTTAGGATTTTTAATACTTCTTGAATTTTATCCCTAATTCTTACCATAAATATTATCTTTTCAGAAGAAAGATAACAAAATTCAGTAAATGGTATTTGAAATAGACATCTCTCACATTCAGTCACCTAAATGTATCACGTAAGAGAATTGTAAGATGGATGCATTCACACAACTCACATGCAGCTAGAATGCTTCATTAGTGTCTCTGTTTATATAATGATGAATTAAAAATATGAATTTACTGACCAAAAATACTATCTTCAAACATATACTCACTGTAACACCTACCAGGATTAAAAATATATAGCATTGGCCAGGCACAGTGGCTCACAACTGTAATTCCAGCACTTTGAGAGGCTCGGGCAGATGGATAGCTTGAGCCTAGGAGTTCAAGTCGAGCCCTAACAGTGTAGAGAGACCACTTCTCTGCAAAAAATACCAAAAATAGCCTGGCATGGTGACCTGCAACGGAAGCCCCCGCTACATAAAAGGCGGAGGTGGGAGGATCACCTGAGCCCAGGGAGGTTGATGCTGCAGTGAACCATTGCTCATGCCACTGCACTCCAGGCTGGGCAACAGAGTTAGAAGCTGTCTAAAATATATATATATATATATATATATATATATATATATACACATATATATATATATAGTGTTTAAAATTTTGTAACATACTTATAGACAGATATGAATATACACATTCCACACAGTTTAAACATAATTGGATGCATACTCTTTGAAAATTTGTACAAAATCTTCAGTATCACTTTATACTCTTTGAACATATGTACATTGATATAACTTTTGAGTGCTTGAAATTTTTTTATATTTTACTCTAGAATAACTTTAAGAAACTATAAAGTAGAAAATTTATGGTAAGTCAAACACAGTCAGAAGAAATAATCACTTTTAAAATGTCTGTGCTAGATACTATGATCTGTTCCCTATGCATATAGTATATGGACTTATACAAACCAATGTTCAGATACCCCTGTAGTATAACCTGTTGTTGTTGTTTTTCTTTTTTTTTTTTTTTTTTTTTTTAATTTTAAACATGGAGTTTCAATCTGTTGACCAGGCTGCTCTCGAACTCCCTGCCTCAAGCAATCCTCCCATTTCGGCCTCCCAAAGGGCTAGGATTACAGGCATGAGGCACCCTGCCTGGCCACCTTGCAGTATAAATGTTAAAACAAACTTCTTCACCTATAACTGGAGTACTTTTCAATTATAATTAATTATTCCTGGAAATAATGATAGGTTTAAAAGTATTAGCACTTTGTAAAACTGAGTTTGTAAACTTCATATAACATAAAATTAACCATTAAAATGTGTTAAATTCAATGGCACTTAGGACATTCACAATGCAATGCAAGCATTACCACTGTGTATTGGCAAATCACTTTCATTACCACAAAAAAAAACCTTGGACCCGCACCAGGTGTGTTGGGTCACACCTGTAATCCCAGCACTTTGGGAGACCAAGGTGGGTGGTTCCCCTGAGGTCTGGGGCTCGAAACCAGCCTGACCAACATGGAGAAACCCCGTTTCTAATACAAATACTAAAAATATTAGCCGGATGTGGTGGCGCATGCCTGTAATCCCAGCTACTCGGGAGGCTGAGGCAGGAGAATCGCTTGAAGCTGAGAGGTGGAGGTTGCAGTGAGCCGAGATAGTGCCATTGCACTCCAGCCTGGGCAATAAGAGTGAAACTCTGAGAAAAGAAAGAAAGGAAAAGAAAAGAAAAGAAAGAGAAAAGAAGAGAGAGAAGGAAGGAAGGGAGGGAGGGAGGAAGGAAGGAAGCTTGGACCCATTAAGTAGTAATTTCCCATTCCACTCTTCGCCTAGCCCCTGGCAAAAACTCATCTGCTTTTCCTCACTACTCATCACCACAATAAGTGGCCTTGTTCCTCTTGCTTTTTTCACTTAGCGTTTCAAATTTTTTGAATTGGTTATTTATCTCCTTGATAACTATCTCTTGGATATCTGTCTTTGTTGTTGGACCTTCATCCACTCAATTTATCACCTGAAGGAGAAAATTTGATGCCATGGAACTTGCTGGACCTATAACTGTGAAGTAAATCATACCCATATAGACTCAGTGAGGAGTGTATTTAATTTCTGAAAGAAGATGATTCCTGATGAGCATGGACGGTTTAGGCCTCATTTTGTTTTCACACAGAAGAAAAAAAAAAAGCAAAAATTCAACAGTAAGACCAAGTTGCACCAAACTGGACAAATCTCCTGGCAGCCATGTTGAGTGGCACCTTTGTCTCGGGCTGACGTTTTTTCAGACAGGAAGGGCGGGAGAAAAGGGCTCCAAGATAGGAATTCCGTGAAAATGTGAAGCAGTACTGCCACCGTGAGGAAGTCGTTTAAAGACAGAATCCGCCATTACAGTGTCCTTACTGGGAAGACTCGCTGTAGGGGAAAGTCTGAACTGTGGGGAAGTGGCAGACGCCTGGGCTCCAGGCTAGGTCTTCTTGCCTTCTCCTCCAAGGCCTGAAGAGAGGCCTTAACACTGGCGGCATCTTGGTGTAGAACCTGGATTGTGATGGGCTTGGAGTGAAGCAGCAGCTGCCAGGCCGTCCCAGCACAGGAAGTCGTGGGGCGGGGCCTCGGTTCCGCCTGGTGCCGCAGGACTCCAAGAACCCACTCAAACACACATGGAGGTTCCTCTGGGCATCTGTGTCTTCTTCCTGTCCATCGGAGCAAGAGTCAGCAGGCTTTCACATGCTGGCATTCTGCTATGGGTCTTTGGGTCTCTGGTAGCATCAGTACCATGAAAAATTAACAAGGTTATTCCACGGGAAGTTTACAGGATTTGCTATTAGAACCTTCACTTTCTAGGTTCTACACCAAGACACCGCCAAAGACCTGGTGTCCTTTAAGTACTTAGACGAGAAGACAAGGACTCCCAGCATGGAGCCCGAGCCTATTCCACCTCCTTACAGACAAGACCTTCCCTAGCGGGTAGTCCTCTCCAGAACGCTGTAATGGCATAGGGATTTGTTAAACAGTATCCTCGCGATGGCAGTAGTGCTCCAGATATGCCAAGAAGTCCTGTCTTGGCGCCCTCTTACCCCGCCCTTCCTGTCTGAAAAAAAGTCACGCACAGACAAAGGCCCCACCAAATGGGTGCTTTATATTTTACCTAGTTTGCAGCCAGCTGTTCTTACTGCTTTGCTTTTTCTTTTTGTTTTCCAACTGAAATCAAACCAAAGCCTAAACCACCTGCCCTATCAGGAATCTTGTTTTGTATTAAAAGTGGATTACTGTGTACACTGTGGTTTGGATCACACCAAGTGTGTATTTTAACAAACCTTTGAGGAGCGTGATTTTATTTGAATGTCACCAGTTTTAAGCCTTATATGTCAGCATTTCATACCTTCAATATAAATGAAGGTAAATCTTAACATAGGGCCTCAGGAATATTACTTTAGTAAAATAGACACTACCAGCTTTTTATGTAATTTTTACAAATACATCACTACATGTTTCAAGAAAAAAAAAGGCCATGAAGAGACAAAGACATCAGAAACTATGGCTACCCAACATTTTACTGAATTTGTGTAAACATACACCACTCTTAGCCATTTGCTTTTAGTTTCCATTGGATATAACTGAGATGTAATCCACTGACCCTCATCAAGCATATCCTCCTTTTAAGAACTCAGTTTCTACACAACCAAGTCTTCCTATTTCTACGCTTGCTCACCCAGCATCATATATAGAGTGTTTTATTATGATATCAAGTAGTCTTGCAGTATTCTGGCCACAACTTAGGGATCCATGGCTAAGGAGAGAAAAAAAAAGTTTACCCCGCCGGGCGCGGTGGCTCAAGCCTGTAATCCCAGCACTTTGGGAGGCCGAGGCGGGTGGATCACGAGGTCAAGAGATCGAGACCATCCTGGTCAACATGGTGAAACCCCGTCTCTACTAAAAATACAAAAAATCAGCTGGGCATGGTGGTGCGTGCCTGTAATCCCAGCGACTCAGGAGGCTGAGGCAGGAGAATTGCCTGAACCCGGGAGGCGGAGGTTGCAGTGAGCCGAGATAGCGCCATTGCACTCCAGCCTGGGTAACAAGAGCGAAACTCCGTCAAAAAAAAAAAAAAAAAGTTTACCCCTACGGTCTTGGAGAAGAGCACATCTAGGCACCAGGCCACGTGGTTCTTATCCTGACTGCCTACCCAGGTTGCCTGGGAGTTTTACTCCATATTCTGACCTAGTCCTTAGGCCTTATATGTTGAGGGAGAGGCCGCTATTTAGTGGGGCTCTAACAGAAAGGTCCAGACAGCTCTCAAGTCTGACAAGACACAGACAACCCTACTTGAATGGACAAAAATACAGGAATGACTATAAATCCTAATCAGATGGATCGCATGGTTCTGTCTCATGGTTTCATCATTTAACATTGGAACAGAAATATTTTCCAGTGTCATTAAAAGGCTATGACTTAGGATTGTGGCCTATGACTTTGTTGTATATGTGTCTTACAGCTTTTCAGTCAGGAATCAGTCCTATATTTTCTCATTAGTAATGACGACATGGAATTTGCAAAGTAAAAAGTAACCAACTCATGATGAAGAGAAATGCGACGTCATAAAACTGATAACCGTTTCCATACTTACTCCCATTTTTCAATACACGCTAAAAAGTTCTATGTATACAGTCAAATGCCACAATAAATTTACATTTTTACTTGAATTTAGCTATACATAATGGTGAAGATTAAAATTTTCACATCTGATTCCTGAGTTCTTGATATTGCCATAAAAATTTGCAATATCTCGGCCGGGCGCGGTGGCTCACGCCTGTAATCCCAGCACTTTGGGAGGCCGAGGCGGGTGGATCATGAAGTCAAGAGATCGAGACCATCCTGGTCAACATGGTGAAACCCCGTCTCTACTAAAAATACAAAAAATCAGCTGGGTCTGGTGGCGCGTGCCTGTAATCCCAGCTACTTAGGAGGCTGAGGCAGGAGAATTGCCTGAACCCAGGAGGCGGAGGTTGCGGTGAGCCGAGATCGCGCCATTGCACTCCAGCCTGGGTAACAAGAGCAAAACTCCGACTCAAAAAAAAAAAAAAATTTGCAATATCTGAATTTTTTACAATATTTGCAAAGAACTTCCTGATTGGACTATTCATCCAAACATAAATTCTCAACTTGCACTTTTAAATCTAAAATATATATTATATATTTATACATACATGAATATGTAAATATTTATATATGATATAAACATATGTATTTTACGTACTTATACATATGAAAATAAGAATTTTTAATTCTTCTCCAAATGTTATTCTTACCTTAAAATTTTATCTCTAAAATCTCAAAAGAAGGATAACAAAATTCAATAAATGATAGTTGAAATAGGCATCTCTCACATTCAGTCACCTAGATGTGTAACCTAACAAAAGTGTAAGATGGATGCATTCACACAACTCACGTGCAGCTAGAATGCTTCATTAGTGTCTCTGTTTATAAAATGATGAATTAAAAATGTGAATTTGTTTGCCAAAAATGCCATCTTCAAACATATACTCAGTATAACATCTACCATGATTAAAAATTTATAGGATTGGCTGGGCACGGTGGCTCACAAGTGTAAGTGCAGCACTTTGGGTGGCCGAGGCCGGTAGACAGCTTGAGCCCAGGAGTTCAAGACCAGCCCTGGCAATGTAGTTAGACAATGCAATTAACATGAAATTAACCATTGAATTGTGTGAAACTCAGTGGCATTTAGTACATTCAAGATGCCGTGTAGACATTACCACTATCTAGTGGCAAGTCATTTTCATTACCACAAAAGAAAACCCTGGACCCATTAACTAGTCATTCTCCATCGGCCTCTGCTCAGTGCCTGTCAAACACTCATCTGCTATCCCTCACTACTGATCATCTCAATAAGTGGCCTGTTTAGTCTTCCTTATTTCACTTAGCGTGTTTCAAATTTCATGCATTTGTTATCTATCTCTTTGATATCTATCTTTGTTGTTGTAACTGCATCCACACAGTTTATTGCCTGAAGGAGACAATTTGATGCCATGGAACGTGCTGGATCTGTAACTGTGTGAAGTAAATCATACCCATATAGTCTCAGTGAGGAGTGTGTTTAACTACTGAGAGAACAAGATTCCTGATAAACATGGGTGGTTTAGGCCTCATTTTGTTTTCACAATGAACAAAAAAGCAAAAATTCAACAGTAAGACTAGGTTGCACCAAGCTGGACAAACCTCCAGGCAGTCATGTTTGCTGGTGCCTCTGTCTCCGGGTGGCATTTTTTCAGACAAGAAGGGCGGGAGAAAAGGGCTCCAAGACAGGGCTTCCTTGAAAGTATGGAGTACTAGTGTCACCATGAGGATGTCATTTAAATACAGAATACACCATTGTATCTTCTTTCCCGGAGGCCTCGCTGTGGGGGAAGGTGTGATCTGCGTGGAGGTGGAAAAGGCTTGGGCTCCAGGTTAGGTCTTCTTGCCTTCTCCTCCAGGGCATGAAGAGAGGCCTGGATATTGAGGATATCTTGGTGTAGAACCTGGAAAGTGAGGGGCTTGGAGAGAACCAGCATCTGCCAGGCAGTCCTGTCACAGGAAATCAGGGGGTGGGGCCTCGATTCCTAGGGTGGGCAGGACTGCAGGAACCCACTCAAACACACATGCAAGCTCTTGGGGGCATCTGTCTCATGTAATTGCCCCTTGGAGCAAGAGTCAGCAGGCTTTCTCGTGCTGGCATCCTGCAACGGGTCTTTCGGTCTCTGGTAGCATCAGCACCGTGCAAAATCAACAAGGCTATTCCAAGGGAAGTTTACAAGATTTACCATTAGAACCTTCACTCTCCAGGTTCTATACCAACACACCGCCAAAGTCTCAGTGTCCTTTAAGGCCTTCGAAGAGAAGGCAACAATTCCCAGCCTGGAGCCCAAGCCTCTTCGACCTTCCCACAGACCAGACCTTCCCTAGCTCATAGTCCTCAGGAAGAAAACGCTGTAATGGTGTAGGGATTTGTTAAACTATATCCGCGTGATGGCAGTAGTGCTCCAGATATGCCAAGAAGCCCTGTCTTGGCGCCCTCTTCTCCCGCCCTTCGTGTCTGAAAAAACGCCACCCATAGACAAACGCCCCACCAAATGGGTGCCTTATATTTTGCCCAGTTTGCAGCCAGCTGGTCTTACTGCTGTGCTTTTTCTTTTTGTTTTCCAGTTTAAATCAAAGCCTAAACCACCCACCCTCATCAGGAATCTTGTTCTGTATTAAAAGTGGATTACTGTGTACACTGTGGTTTGGATCACACCAAGTGTGTATTTTAACAAGCCTTTGAGGAGCGTGATTTTATTTGAATGCCACCAGTTTTAAGCCTTATATGTCAACATTTCATACCTTCAATATAAATGAAGGTAAATCTTAACATAGGGCCTCAGGAATATTACTTTAGTAAAATAGACACTATCAGCTTTCTGTGTAATTTTTACAGATACATCACTACACGTTAAAAAAAAAAAAAAGTCCATGAAGAGAGAAAGACACCAGAAATGATGGCTACCCAACATTTTGCTGAATTTGTGTAAACATACTCTACTCTTACCCATTTGCTTTTAGTTTTCATAGGATATTAAACTGAGATGTGATCCACTCACCCTCATCAAGCAACTCCGCCTTGGTTTCTGCACAACCAAGTCTTCCCATTTCTACTCTTATCAGCATCATATATATCGTGTTTTATTATGACATCAAGCAGTCTTGTAGTATTCCAGCCAGACCTTAGGGATTCATGCCTAAGGAGAGAAGGAAAAAAAGTTTACTCCTAAGGTCTTGAAGAAGAGCAGATCTAGGCACCAGGCCACGTGGTTCTTGTCCTGACTCCCTTCCCAGGTTTCCTGGGAGTTTTACTCCATATTCTAACCTAGTTATTAGGCCTTATATGTTGAGGGAGAGGCCACTATTTAGTGGGGCTCTAACATAAGGGTCCGGATAGCTCTCAAGCCTGACAAGACACACAGAGTCCTATTTGAATGGACACTAGTAAAGGAATGAATACATATCCTAATCAGATGGATCACATGATTTTGTCTCATGGTTTAGTCATTTAATATTGAAACAGAAATATGGAACTTGCTGGACCTGTGACTGTGTGAAATAAATCATACCCATATACTCTCAGTGAGTAGTATATTTAATTTCTGACAGAACAAGATTCTTGATGAGCAAAGGTGGTTTAGGCCTCATTTTGTTTTCAGATGGAAAAACAGAGGCAGAAATTCAACAGTAAGATCAGGTTGCACCAAACTGGACAACTGTCCAGGCAGCCATGTTGGGTAGCACCTTTGTCTCTGTGCGACATTTTTTTCAGACAGGAAGGGTGGGATAAAGGGATCCAACACAGGGCATCCTTGAAAATATGGAGCACTACTGCCACTATGCGGAATTCGTTTAAAGACAAGCTACGCCATTACAGCCTCCTTCCCAGAAAGCCTTGCTGTAGGGGAAGGTCTGATCTGTGCGGAGGTGGAAGAAGCTTGGGCTCCAGGCTAGGTCTTCTTGTCTTCTCCTGTAAGACCAGAAGAGAGACCTGGACATTGGTACTATCTTGATGTAGAACCTAGAGTGTGATGGGCTTGGAGTGAACCGGCAGCTGCCAGGCGATCCTGGCACAGGAAGTCGTGGGGCGAGGCCTCGGTTCCTCCTGGTGTGGGCAGGACTGCAGGAACCCACTGAAACACACATGGAGGCCATTGTGGGCATCTGTCTCTGTTACCTGCCTCTTGGAGCAAAAGTCAGCAGGCTCTCACGTGCTGGCATCTTGATATGGGTCTTTGGGTCTCTGGTAGCGTTGGTAATGCGTACACGGAACAGGGTTATTCCATGGGAAGTTTACAGGATTTGCTTTCAGAACCTTCACTCTCCAGGTTCTATATCAAGATACCGCCAATGTCCAGGTCTCTTTTAAGTCCTTCGAGGAGAAAGCAAGGACTCCCAGCATGGAGCCCAAGCCTCTTCCACGTCTCCACATACCAGACCTTCCCCAACAGGTAGAAAAGGGAAGAACTCTGTAATGGCATAGGGATTCATTAAATGACATCCACCCGATGGCAGTACTGCTCCAGAGATGCCAATTAGCCCTGGCTTGGTGCCCTCTTCTCCCGCCCTTTCTGTCTGAAAAAACGCCACCCATAGACAAAGGGGCTCCAAACCTGGATGCCTTACATCTTGCACGGTTTGAAGCCTGCTGGTCTTATTGCTGCACTTTTTCTTTTTCTTTTCAACTTGAAATCAAACCAAAGGCTAGGCACAGTGGCTGGCGCCCCTCTAATCCCAGCACTTTGGGAGGCCGAAGTGGGCGGATAACCTGAGGTCGAGAGTTCGAGACCAGCCTCACGAACATGGAGAAACCCGGTTTCTACTAAAAATACAAAATTAGTCAGGCCTGGTGGCGCATACCTGTAATCCCATCTACCAGGGAGGCTGAGATAGGAGAATCGCTTGAACCCAGGAATCGGAGGTTGCGGTGAGCTGAAATCATGTCATTGCGCTTCAGCCTAGGCAACAAGAACAAAACCCCATCTCAAAAAAAAAAAAAAAAAAAAAAACAAAAGAAAGAAATCAAACCAATGCCTAAGCCATCTGCCATCATCAGGAATCTTATTTCAAAAATTACATATTCTCCTGAACTAGTCTGTGTGGATTTGATTTGCTTCAGTTACAGGTCCAGTAATTTCCATGGCATTAAACTTTCTCCTTCAGGGGATAAATTTGGTGGCTGAACACACAAAAAGGAGAAAAGGGCTGAAAGCTTGGAAAAGATCTGCGGCAAACAATTAAAAAATCCCAAAGGTCTTTGACTTCGCTCCCCTGTGAGACATCCAGGGACTTCGCAGGATTTTGAGAGCTTTATGAGCCTTTTGTGGTGCACTGTAGGCAATCTGGCATGAGCCACTAGAGGAGAAACCAGGTGACACTCTTTACTGCATGCCATATATACTCCACATGGCATGATACTCATGGGACATATGTTCAATTCCTGTCAAAGTGACTCCAAGTTTCATCTCATGGTCTCATCATTTAACATCACAACACAGCATGTGCCCATGTCATTACATATTCAGTTATTTCCTGAGAATTTATGGGCTGTGTGTGTTTATAATTGAGTTTTTCTCTGAGAGTTTTATAATTTGTCTTTTAGGTATAAGGATTACAATATTCTCCAACTAGTAAATTAAAGAAAAATGCTCGACAAATATTAAGAATAAGCCATATATTAATAATGAAGAAGGCCAGGCGTGGTGGCTGACATCTGTAATCCCAGCACTTTGGAAGGCCGAGGCTGGTGGATCACCTTAGGTCAGGAGTTCGATACCAGCTCAACCAACATGGAGAAGCCCCATCTCTACTAAAAATACAAAAAATTAGCCAGACATGGTGGCACATGCCTGTAATCCCAGCTACTCGGGAGGCTGAGGCAGGAGAATTGCTTGAATCTGGGAAATGGAGATTGTGGTGAGCTGAAATCGCATCACTGCACTCCAGACTGAGCGACAGAGCAAGACTCCCTCTCAAAAATAAATAAATAAATAAGAAAACTGCTATCATACAACTTATCAAGGCAATTCATGAACATTTTGATTATATCCATGCATATCTTTCAAAACGTACATTGTTAATTTAAACAAAAAATAAATTTGTATTAAAAGTGGATTATTATGTACACTGTGGGTTTGGATCAGACCAAGTGTGTATTTTAACAAAACTTTAAGGAGCGTAAATTTTTTGAATGTCATCAATACTATTTCTTATATTTCAACATTTCATGCCTTCAAGGTAAATAAAGGTAAATCTTAAAATAGGATGTCAGGAATATTACTTTAGTAGACACTATCAGCTTTTTGTTTGAATGTTTACATGTACATGACTACGCACTTCAAAAACAAAGTCCATGAAGAGACAAAGACACCAGAATCCATGGCTACCCAACATTTTCCTCAATTCGTGGAAACATATTCTACTCTTAGCCGCCTGCTTTTGGTTTCCATCGGATATTAAACCGAGCTGTAATCCATTCACCCTCATTAAGCATCTCCTATTTTCAAGAACTCAGTTTCTGCACAACCATCTTCCCATTTCTACTCTTCATCACTCAGCATCATATCTGCAGTGTTTTATTATGATGTCAAATAGTCTTGTCGTATTGTGGACAGACCTTAGCTTTCCATGCCTAAGGAGAGAAGAAAAGAAAAATCTTACCCCTAAGGTCTTTCAGAAGAGCAAATCTAGGCACTAGGCCACATGGTTCTTGTCTTGACTCCCTACCCAGGTTTCCTGGGAGTTTTTTGTTTTTTGTTTTTTTGATGAAGTCTTGCCAGGCTGTAGCGCAGAGGCAGGATCTCGGCTCACTGGAACCTCTGCCTCTTGAGTTCAACAGATTCTTCTGCCTCAGCCTCCAGAATAGCTGGGATTACAGGCGTGTGCCACCACACCCAGCTAATTTTTGTATTTTTAGTAGAGATGGGGTTTCACCATGTTGGTCAGGCTGGTCTCAAACTCGTGACCTCGTGATCCACCTGCCTCGGCTCAAAAAGTGATGGGATTACAGGCGTGAGCTGCTGTGCCCGGCCCCTTGGGAGTTTTACTCCGTGATCTGACCTAGTCATTAGGCCTTCTATGTTGAGGGGCAGGCCGATATTTAGTGGGGCTCTAACATAAGAGTTCAGATAGCTGTCCAGCCTGACAAGACACACACAGCCCTACTTGAAAGGACACAAATATAGGAAGGATTATAAATTCTAATCAGATGGATCACAGAATTTTGTCTCATGGTTTCATTATTTAACATTGGAATAGAAATATTTTCCAGTGTCATTAAATGGCTATGATTTAAGACTGTGTCCTATAACTTTGTTATATATGTGTCTTACTGTTTTTCTGTTAGGAATCAGTCCTATATTTTCGCATTAGTAACAAAGACATTGAACTTACAGAGTAAAACAGTAACCATATTCTGATGAGGAGAAAAGCAATGTCGCAAAACTGTATATTAAACACTGATAACTGTTTCCATATTTACTCCCATTTTTTTAATACACAGATAAAAAGCTCTATATAAACAGTCAAACTCCACAATAAATTTACATTTTAATTGAATTTAGCTATACATAAGGTTGAAGAATTTAAAGTTTCACATTTTATTTCTGAGGGGTTTTTGATATTCTCATAAAAAATTTGCGATATCCGAATTTTAGACAAGAAAATATTTGCAAAGAACTTCCTGATTGGACTGTCCATCAAAACATAAGTTCTCAATTTTCACTTTTAAATCTATCTATCTATCTATCTATCTATATATATATATATATATATATATATATAGAGAGAGAGAGAGAGAGAGAGATGGAGTCTTGCAGTGTCTCCCAAGCTGGAGTACAGTAGTGCGATTTTGGTTCACTTCAACCTTCACGTCCTGGGTTCAAGAGATTCTCCGGCCTCAGCCTCCCAAGTAGCTGGGAGTACAGGCATGGGCCATCACACACACCTAATTTTTGTCTTTTTAGTAGGCAACAGTGTTTTGCCGTGTTGGCCAGGCTGGTCTCCAACTCCTGACCTCAGGTGATCCGCCCACTGAGGTCTCCCAAAGTAAAGGAATTACAGGCGTGAGTCACCACGCCTGCATATATTTATACATACATACACATATAAATGGATATTTCCATACAATATAAACAGATGTATAATACATACTTATACCTCTGAAAATTAGGATTTTTAATTATTCTCAAATTCTTATTCCTAATTGTTACCTTTAAATTTTATCTTTAAAATCTTCACAGAAAGATAACAAAATATTTAGTTTTCAGACCCGTTATCACAGGATGTTCTTTTTTAAAATTGATATTATTTTTAACTTCTCCAATATTTTGTGATTTTCAATGTACAAGACTTTAGCCATTGTCCTAAAAATATGATTCATTTTGATGCCATTGTAAAAGGAAATGCTTTCTTAATTTAATTTTCAGATTATTCATTGCTGGTGTACAAAAATACAACTAATTTTTCCAACTTAATTTTCTATCCTGCAGTATTGGCTTAATATTGCTCACTAGCTCCAATATTATCTTTTCTGGGTTTTTAAGCATTTTCAAAAGATCATCATATTTATGAAGAAAAATAATTTCCATTTTTTCTTTTCAACTTGGATGTCTTTTATATATCTTCATTGTCTGCTGCCCCGGCTAGAGTTTCTAACGTTCAATAGAAGTGACAAAAGTGGGTGTTCTTCTCCTGTTCATGATTTTAGAAGCAAAGCTTTCGGTTTTTCTGTCTTGACTATATTATAGCTGTAGGTTGTTAATAAATGGCCCATATATCGTGCTGAGAAAATAATCTTCTAATTATAGATTATTGATTGTTTTAAGTTGCTTTTCTGGAGAGATGGACTAGAAAAGTGTCTATGGCATGATTTTGTTTTTCTTTTCTTTTCTTTTCTTTTCTTTTCTTTGTGAGGCAGAGTTTCACTCTTGTTACCCAGGCTGGAGTGCAATGGCGTGATCTCGGGTCACTGCAACCTCCAACTCCCAGGTTCAAGCGATACTCCTGCCTCAGCCTCCCAAGTAGCTGAGATTACAGGTGCCCACCACCAAACCTGGCTAATTTTTGGTATTTTTAGTAGATACAAAGTTTCGCCATGTTGGTCTCGAACTCCTTACCTCAGATGATCCCCCACCTCAGCCTCCCAAAGTGCTGGCATTACAGGCGTGAGTTACCTCGCCCAGCCCCCATTTTCATTGATGTCCCTTCTGCCACCTGTTTTTGAATTTGTAGAAACACTCATGCTTCTTCAAAATGTGCCTGACACAACAGTGATACATGAAAAAGTAAAGTTGTTACAGGTAGTTAGATAGGCAATGAGCAGGGCAGGAAAGGGCTCTCCCCACCCACTAGGAATGTCCCATGATCTTTCAGCAGTTATCACATTGTATGTCTAAAAATGATAATTTGGCAACCAGGGAGAGACAATCTCCTGATGGTCCACACCTGTTAATATTAAAAGTGTGAACTGAATGCAGGCCCCAGGGAGAAGCAGCTTTTTGGGCATGCGTGTTGAGACAAAATGATGAAATATGTTCCGGGTACATGCCACAGGAAAAAGGAAGAAATCTGCAGATGGGCATGTGTATAACTCCCTGAACGCATTGTGCAGTGCTCAATTCCAAATGGTAAGGAGAGCACTGCGCATGTGGAAAGCTCACCCTAAAGGAAGAATCACGGAAAACAGGCAAGTCTGTAAGGTCCCAGGATCAAGGTTAAAAGGTCTTTTTGTTCTCTTGGCCATTCAGGCACCCACTTGGATGTCTTCCAAGGGTTCTTTCTTTCCTGTTCTAAAGCCTTTTAAGTAAACGTCCACTCCTGCTCTAAAACTTGCCTCAGTCTCTTTTCTGCTTTATGTCCCTCAGTCCAATCCTTTCTTCTGAGGAGGCAAGGACGGAAGTTGCTGTGGACCCATACGGCTACGCCACCTGTTACTCGGGGTAACTCGGTTCTCTACCACCATTAACAAAGTGAGATCATGGGTAATGTTACCTCCAACAGACAAGTACTTCTAAAATGTAGATTTATTGTCAGGCGCAGTGGCTCACGCCTGTAATCCCAGCACATTGGGAGGCCGAGGCAGGCGGATCACGAGGTCAAGAGATCAAAACCATCCTGGCCAATATGGCGAAACCCCGTCTCTACTAAAAAAAAAATACAAAAAAATTAGCTGGGCGTGGTGGCACGTGCATGTAATCCCAGCTACTCAGGATGCTAAGGCAGGAGAATTGCTTAAACCCGGGAGGCGGAGGCTGCAGTGAGCAGAGGTTGCACCACCACACTCCAGCCTGGTGCCTGGTGATGGAGTGAAACTCTGTCTCAAAAAAAAAAAAAATGTAGATTGATTTTCAATCCTTATCACTCTTTTTGGTTCCCACCCCTTTATGTGTAACAACTCCACTGAGAAAATAAATAAATAAAATAGCTGGGAATGGTGGCTTATGCCTGTAATCCTAGCACTTTGGACGGCCGAGGCAGGTAGATCACCTGAAGTCAAGAGTTCAAGACCAGCCTGACCAACATGGTGAAACCCATCTCTACTAAAACTACAAAAATTAGCCAAATGTGGTGGAGCCCACTTGCCGTCCCAGTTGTTCAGGAGGCTGAGACAAGAGAATCCCTTCAACCTGGGAGACGGAGGATGCAGTGAACTGAGATCCTGCCACTGCAATCCACCCTGGGCAACAGAGAAAGACTCCATCTAAAAAAAAAAACAAAAACAAAAACAAAAAACAACTCTACTAGAAGACATAAAACTTTAGGTCCTTCCAGTCTCTAGACAACTAGATGCCCTTGAGACTATCAGAAGACATCCTGGCTCCTGCTTTATCACAGCTGGAACAGGCCTGTCTTTGGTGTTCTCGTACTGCTGCATCAAAGGACCGTGATAGAGTAACACTGCCTGAAAGCCTCCTAACACTTGCTCCAAGGGACAGAACGTAAAACACACACTCATCCCAACCACACACAACATCTACTGTCTCAGGAAACACCTGAAAAATAGAATATGTAATGCATGGGAACATGCTGTGTTCTATTAAATGATGAGGCCATGAGATGAAACTGAGTAATCTCCACGGGAACTGAACATAGGGACTATGAGGAAACGCCATGTGGAGCATATATGGCAGGGAGTAATGACTGCTGTCTGGTCCTCACTCTATGGCTTACATCAACTTTTTGCCTACAATGCAACATATGAGGCTAGAACATGATGAACTGTCCAGTTGTCCGAGAGGGGAACCAAATTAAAGACCACCAGGATTTGTAAATTGTTTGCCAAAGATCTTCTCCATGTTTTAAATAATTTTTTACTTATTTTACCTTCATCCACCTAATTTATTACCTGAAAATACAATTTGATGCCATGGAACTTGCTGGACCTATGACTTTGAGGAGTAAATCATATCCAGATAGACTCAATGAGGAGTATATTTAATTTCTGAAAGAACAAGATTCCTGATGAGTATGAGTGGTTTAGGCTTCATTTTGTTTTCAGATGGAAAGAAAAGTAAAACTTCAATAGTAAGACCAGGTTGCACCAAAGTGGACAAATCTCCTGACACCCATGTTTAGTAGCGCCTTTGTCTCTGAGTGCCGTTTTTTCAGACAGGAAGGGCGGGAGAAGAGGGCTCCCAGACAGGGCTTCCACGAAAATGTGAAGCACTACTGCCACCGTGAGGAAATAGTTTGAAGACAGAATCCGCCATTACAGTGTCCTTCCCGGGAAGCTTCGCTATGGGGGAAGGTCTGATCTGTGCGGAGGTGGAAGAGGCCTGGGCTCCAAGCTAGGTCTTCTTGGCTTCTCCAAGGTCTTAGGTGATGCCTGGACTTTGGTGGTATCTTGGTGTAGAAACTGGAGAGGGAGGGGCTTAGCGTGAATCAGCGGTTTCTAGGCGGTCCTGGCACAGGAAGTCATGGGGCGGGGCCACAGTTCCCCCTGTTGTGGGCAGGACTGCAGGAACTCACTCAAACACACATGCAGGCTGTTGTGGGCACCTGTCTCCTGCTCCTGCCCCTTGGAGCAAGAGTTGGCAGGCTCTCACGTGCTTGCATCTTTCTACGGGTCTTTGGGTCTCTGGTAGCATCAGTACCACACACAAGGAACAGGGTTTTACCAAGGGACGTTGACAGGATTTCCTTTCCTTCACTCTTCAGGTTCTACACCAAGATACCGCCAATGTTCAGGTTTCTTTTAAGGCCTTAGACGAGAAGACAAAGATGAGCAGCATGGAGACCAAGCCTCTTCCTCCTCCCCACGGGCCAGACCTTCCCCAATGGGTAGTCCTCAGTGGAAGGACATTGAAATGGCATAGGGTGCCATTAAACTGCCTCCTCACGGTGGCAGTAGTGCTCTAGCTGTGCCAAGAGGTATCTTGGAGCCCTTTTCTCCCGCCCTTCCTGTCTGAAAAAACGCCACGCAGAGACAAAGGCACAGGAAACATGGCTGCCTTGTTTTTTGCCCAGTTTGGAGCCATCTGGTCTTACTGGGGCACCTTTGCTTTTATTTCCCATCTGAAATCAAACCAAGGCATAAACCATCCACTCTCATCAGAAATCTTATTCAGAAATTTAAATTCCTCCTCACCTAGTCTATATGATTATAAATTATCACAGTTATAAGTCCAGTACTTTCTATAGCATCAAACTGTGTCCCTCAGGGGATAATGTTGGGGATGAAGGCACAAGGAGAAAATTGCTTGAAGCTTGGAGATCTTCTCTAGAAAACAAGTTACAAATCCTGGTGGTCTCTGACCTGGCTCCCCTCCCAGACAACCAGGGAGTTTATATTCTAGCTCATCTGGTGCATTGTTGCAACAATTTGGAATGAACCATAGAGAAGGGACCAGATAGCTGTCATTACTGCATGCCATATGTGCTCCACGTGGCATGATACTCATACTACATAGGTTGAGTTCCTATCAAGGTTATTCAGAGTTTCATCTCATGGTCTCCTCGTTTAACGTCAAAACACAGCATGTTCCCATGCCACTACATATTCTTCAAGTATTTCCTGAGACTTTATGGGGTGTGTCTGTGTGTGTCTGTGTGTGTGTGTGTGTGTGTGTGTGTGTGTGTGAGAGACCATGTGTGTGTCTGTATTTTATAATCTGTCTTCAAGATATAAATCTTACACTATTTTCCCACTAGTTAATTAAAGAATAATGCCTGGCTGGGTGCGGTGGCTCACACCTGTAATCTTAGCACTTTGGGAGGCCAAGGCAGTGGATCACCTGAGGTCAGGAGTTCAAGACTAGCCTGGCCAAGATGGTGAAACCCTGTCTCTACTAAAATTACAAAAATTAGCCAGGTGCAGTGGCAGGTTCCTGTAATCCCAACTCCTCATAAGGTTGAAGCAAAAGAATCGCTTGAACCTGGGAGGCAGAGGTTACATTGTGCCGACATTGCTGCACTCCAGCCTAGGCAACAGAGTGAGACTCCGTCTCAGAAAACAAAACGAAACAATAATGCTTCACAAAGATTTGGAAAAATCTATGTAGTAACAAAGAAGAAAGCACTACCATAAAATTTATCAAGGCAATAAATAAATAAATTTCGATTATTTTCATGTATGTGTGGATGGATGGATAGATAGATAGATAGATAGATAGATAGATGTATATATATATATATATATACACACCCCTTTTTTCTTTGGACCAAAACTTGGTCACCCAGGCTGGAGTGAAATGGCACCATCTCGGCTCATTGCAACCTCCAGGTTCAAGTGATTCTCCTGCCTCGGCCTCCTGAGTAGCTGGGATTACAAACGCATGCCACCAGGCCTAATTAATTGTTTTATGTTTTTAGTAGACATGAGGTTTTGCCATGTTGGCCAGGCTGTTCTTGAACTCCTGACCACAAGTGACACAATCACCTTGGCCTCCCAAAGTTCTGGGATTACAGGTGAGAGCCACTATGCCCAGCTATATATACATTCCTAATTTCATGCAAATAACAAGCCTGTATTGAAATTCGGTTACACTCAACATTGTGGTTTGGAACAGATCAAATGTGTATTTTAACAAAGCTTTCAGGAGCATTAATTCATTTGAATATTATAAATACTAAACATTGTTTTCAACATTTCAAGTCTTCAGTGTAAATGAAGGTAAATCTGAAAAATGCATGGTCAAAAGCACTCTTTTAGAAAAGTAGGCACTATTCATTTTTTGTTTAAATGTTTACAGATACATCACAGTGTGCATACTGGCTCTCTACAATACATACCTGACTATACGTTTAGTTTAAGGTTATGACATGTTAGAAGTAGAGTAACATACACTTTGCTTTCTCATTTCTCTTATGGTGTGACAGGTTTAATCCTCAAGGTTCAATAATATGCTTTTCTCCTTAAATCAGAGGCAGGGAATGGCTGTTTATGAGGACACAGAGAATGCAATTAAGATTTTGTGAGGGGCCGGGCAAGGTGGCTCACGCCTGAAATACCAGCACTTTGGGAGGCCCAGGAGGGTGCGTCACTAGGTCAGGAGTTAGAGACCAGCCCGGCCAATATGGTGAAAACCAGGTCTACTAAAAATACAAAAATTAGCTGGGCATGGTGGTGCGTGCCTGTAGTTCCAGCTGCTCAGGAGGCTGAGGCAGGAGAAGTGCTTGAACTCAGAAGCCAGAGGTTGCAGTGAGCCAAGTTGACGCCACTCCACTTCAGCCTGGGTGACACAGCTAGATTCCATCTCAAAAAAAAAAAAAGGACTACCTGGTGTAGGTGAATGACATGTATCCAACCTAAATGGGAATGATAGGCTCATTGTCCCTCCACACTAGCCTCCCTTGCAGAAGAAACCAGTCAGCCTCCTTGTCACTACCACTGGTACTCGGCTAGGTGTGATTTCCTTCCCAGGCTTCCATCCACTAGTCGGGCACATAGCCTATATTAAAGATAGTTAGCAAGGGGTGAATAAAAGATCCCTTAGCCTAAATAATTCTAGGTTTGGGACCACCAACATTTCTACCATCAGATATGAGACACTGTCCCATAGGTAGGTCCGTATTCTTCCATGAAGATGGTCGGGTCAAACTATTCCTCCATAGGAGGCAGTTTAGCAGCTATCTAAGTCTACGTTAGGTGAAATACTCTGGAGAGGCAGTTTTCATCATTCCCAGGAACAAGAATCATAGAGAAATGCTTCCCAGACAGTCTCCAGGACACTCATGCGTGTCAATAGCATCGATGTCTGCAGACCATCACTCAACTCAACAAAACCAGCTAGAGAGAGAGCTACACACAGTCAAAGATGTCAAAAAAGCCAGGTTACTCTACAATGCCTTACCCTGCCTGGAATGCCGGTCTGAATCCTCAGAGGTCAGGAGAGGTCATCCCCGAACAAGCTCTTGAACCACTGTAATGTCACAGCGCAGAGCCAAACTAACATTAATTCCTTTCACTAATCATTCAGATAGTGAGATAATAAACTCTGAAGAAGAGTGTCACGAGAAACAAGTCGCCCGTGCAATTTTAGTCACCCTTTTGATTCTTCAATTATGAGTCATAGAATATCTGGAGGTCTCCACACGAAAGGTTGGATATCTTATTAGGAAATAGATTTAAAGCTGGTACAGCCAATACTAGCGAGGATGCAGTAAATAATGATTTGCTCAGGCCTAAACAATGCCGTAATTCTAAGGGACATCGAACAGAAAAGAGCCACCTAACTGCCCTCCTTGAGAGAACTGAGATGACATTGGGGTCCCATTATGACAAAAGACTTTCTCCTGAACTTATAAAGTCGCAGAAACTGCTGGCTTGTGCTATAGGCAATGGTGTTTAGAATTTTCCTGTATCAAGGACCATGTGAATGACACTGGGTTCAGATAGATCTTCCGTGGAACTGGCCTGTCCATTGCCATCTTACAATGCTGCTATAAATGTCACAGCCCCGTAACACAGGGACAGCCAGATTGCCACAACTCCCAAGGTCATATTCATAACATAAATGCCCCATGAGTCTGTACTTGGCTTTGTCACTTCTAGTTTTGTCCCCACTATGAGGAAACCGAGGCCCTGTCCTCTATTTCCTGTGCCAAGACTTTCTGGAAGCAGCTGGCTGAGTCCTGGTGCCTCACTCACCAGCTACTTCACTAAGACTTTGCATTTGTCCATTGCTTCTGCCAGGCCTCAGAGAAAATGGTAGGAAGGCCCGCTTGGGTCTCGGGCCTGTTCAGCCTGCACTGGCTTTTCCTTCTTCAAGTGCTAGGGCTTACGTGGAGGAAACCCTCACGGCTTTGGATGCTGTGAAACTATTTCCGCACGATGGCAGTATTGCCCGAGAAAAGCCAGCTAACTTTGTGCCAGGCACTCCTCTCCCGCCCATCACATTTCAAAAAAAAAGTCAAGAACAGACAAAGACACCAGAAACTATGGCTACCTAACATTTTGCTAAATTTGTGTAAAGGTATTCTACTCTTAGCATTTTGCTTTCGGCTTCCATTGGATATTAAACTGAGATCTAATCCATTTACCCTCATGAAGCATCTCCGTTTTTCAAGAAGTCACTTTCCACACAACGAAGTCTTCCCATTTTTACTCTTCTTCATGCAGCATTATGTCTGTCGTGTTTTATTATAACATCAAATTGTCTTGTAGTATTGGGACATATCTCAGGGATTCATGCCTAAAGAAACGAATGAAAAGCCGGGCGCGGTGACTCAAGCCTGTAATCCCAGCACTTTGGGAGGCCGAGGCGGGTGGATCACGAGGTCAAGAGATCGAGACCATCCTGGTCAACATGGTGAAACCCCGTCTCTACTGAAAAAAAAATACAAAACATTAGCTGGGCATGGTGGTGCGTGCCTGTAATCCCAGCTACTCAGGAGGCTGAGGCAGGAGAATTGCCGGAACCCGGGAGACAGAGGTTGCGGTGAGCCAAGATCACGCCATTGCACTCCAGCCTGGGTAACATGAGTGAAACTCCGCCTCAAAAAAAAAAAAAGAAACGAACGAAAATAAAGCCACAAATGTTGACACCTACGGTCTTGGAGAAGGGCGAATCTAGGCACCAGGCCATGTGATTCTTGTCATGACTCCCTACGCGGGTTCTCTGGGGGTTCTATATCATGTTCTGATCGAGGCATTAGGCTTTATATGATGAATGGATTTAGTGGAGCTCTACGATAAGAGGCCAGACAGCGCTCAAACTTGACAATGACACAGAACCTGACTTGAATAGACACAAATACAGGAATGACTATAAATCTTAATCAGATGGATCACAGGATTTTGTCTCATGGTTTCATTATTTAACATTGGAACACAAACATTTTTCTGTGTCTAATTAAATGGCCTTAGCTTAAGACTGTGCCGTATAACTTTGGTGTATATGTGTTATTATTTTCCAGTTAGCATACGGGCCTATATTTTCGCATTATTAACAAAAAGGCGGAATTTGCAAAGAAGTTAAAAAAAAAAAACCTATATGCTGAGCAAGAGAAAAGCAATTTCATAAAGCTGTGTATTAAACACTGATACCCTTTACCATATTTATTCTGTTTTGCAATACACAGATAAAAAGTTCTATATATACAGTCAACACAATGAATTTACATGTAAATTGGATTTAGCTATACACTGTATTTTAGTATGAATATTCCATAGTATGAATTAAGATTTTCATTCTAAAATTTGATTTCTCACCAGTGTTTGACATTGTCGTATAAAATTTGCAATTTCTGGACTTTGAACAATAAAATATTTGCAAAGAACTATGTGATTGGACTAGTCATTAAGAAATAAGATCTCACTTTGCTCTTTGTAATCTACATAATCTATTTATACATACATAAACACATATATAAAAATGTATTTTACGTAGTTATACCTCTGAAAATTAGGATTTTAAAATTATTCTTGAATTTTTATCTCTAATTCTTACTTTCAACCTTTGTCTTTAAAATCTCAAAAGAAAGAAAAGAAAATTAATAAATGATCAATGAAATAGGCATTTCTCATATTCAGTTACTTAGATGTGAACCTCAAGAAAACTGTAAGATGGATGCATTCACACCACTCACATGCAGCTATAATGTTTCATTAATGTCTCTGTTTATATAACTATGAATTAAAGATATGTATTTGTTGGCCAAAAATACCATATTCAAACACATACTCAGTATAACACTGACCATGATTTAAAATATATGGCATTGGCCAGATGCAGTGGCTCACAACTGTAATCCCAGCACTTCGTGAGACCGAGGCAGGAGGATCGCTTGAGCCTGAGAGTTCAAGACCAATTTAGCAATTAGTGATTTAGGCAATTTAGCGAGTCCCTGTCTCTACAAAAAATAACTAGGCGTGGTGGCATGTACCTGTAGTCCCAGCTACTCATGAGGTGGTGGTGGGAGGATCACCTGAGTCCAGGGAGGTTGAGGCTACATTGAGCCATGATCATGCCACTGCACTCTAGCCTAGGCAATGGAGTCTGATCCTGTGTAAAAAACATATATTTAAACATTTGTATAAGCATATAAACAGATATGAATACACACAGAGTCCCATACACATTTTACTTTCAATATAATTGGATTCATACTGCTGGAAATTTTATACAAAATCTTTAGCATCACCTTATAATCTTTGAATATATCCATATCAATATATACTTTTGAGTGTTTGAGTTTTTTTATATTTTACTCTAGAAGAACTTTAAGAAATTATAAGCAGAAAACATATGGTAGGTCAAACATAGTGAGAAGAAAGAATCACTTTTACAATGTCTGGGCTATGTATCATGATCTGTTCCTTTGCACAAATAATATGTACATTTATAAACTAATGTTCAAATTCTCCTGTAGTATAATTGCTAAAACAAATTTTCTTCACTGATAACTTCAGTAATTTTCAAATATAATTATCATTCTTGGAAATAACGACAGGTTTAAAAATATTGGCACATTTTAAAACTGTTTTGGTATAATTCACGTAACATAAAATTAACCATTAAAATGTGTGAAATTCAGTGGCATTTAGTACATTCACAATGCAGTGCAAGCATTACCTCTATCTATTGGCAAATCATTTTCATTACCACAAAAGAAACCCTGGACACATTAAGCAGTCATTCCCCATTGGACTCTCTGGCCAGCCCCCAGCAAACACTCATCTACTTTCCCTGACTACTGATCATCACAATAAGGGGCCTCCATCATGTGTCTCATAGAGGCTATTCTAATGTAATTGCAGGCAGCAGTATGCAAGCATTCCTCTTTCCCTGCCTCCTAGCCAACATCTGCTACCTTCTTTTTTGTAAGAGACATTTGAACTGGTGTAGTACGGTATCCCATTGCAGTTTTGATTTGCATTTCCCTGATGATTAGTGATGTTGAGCGTTTTTTCATGTATCTGTTGGCCATCTGTGTGTCTTTCAAAATTGTCTATTCAGATCATTTGCCCATTTGTAAATCAGATAATATGCTTTTTGGTTTTTTTTTTTTTTTTTTTTTTTTTTTGCTATTAAGCTGAGTTTGCAAAGATATTCTCTTTCTGTAGGTTGTCTTTTCACTTTGTTTTCTTTGCTGTGCAGAAGCTTTCTAGCTTGATTTACTCTCATTTGTGTATTTATGCTTTGATTTCCAGTGCTTTTGAGGTCTCCTGCAAAAAATCGTTGCCCAAAATGATGTCTTAAAGCATTTCTACAGTCTTTTCTTCTAGTAATTTCATATTTTCAGGTCTTTTCTTAAATTTGTGGAGATTTGTTTTGTGGCCTAACATATGCTCTATACTGGGGAATATTCCATGTGCTGATGACAAGAATGTATATTCTACAGCAATTGGATGAAATATTCTGTAAATGTCAGATAAGTCCATTTATTTGGTCTAGAGTATAGTTTAATTCCAATGTTTCTTTGTCTGGATAAGCTGTCCATTGCTTAAAGTGGAGTACCAACATCTCCCAGTATTGTTGTACACCAGTCTGTCTCACCGTTTAGATCTCCAAATGTTTGCCTTCTATATTTGTGTGTTCCAGTGTTGGGTACATACCTATTTTCAGTTGTTAAATCCTCTTGGCCAGGCGCGGTGGCTGACACCTGTAATCCCAGCACTTTGGGAGGCTGAGGAGGGCAGATCAAACTCCTGAGGTCAGGAGTTTGAGACCAGCCTGGCCAATATGGTGTAACCCCATCTCTACTAAATTACAAAAATTAGCTAGGTGTGGCAGTGGGCCCCTGTAATCCCAGCTACCCTGGAGGCTGAGGTAGGAGAATCGCTTGAACCTGGGAGGTAGAAGTTGCAGTGAGCTGAGATGGCGCCATTGCACTCCAGCCTGGGCAACAAGAGTGAAACTCCGTCTCAAAAAAAAAAAAAAAAAATCCTCTTGCTCAACTGGCATTTTCATTGTTACACAGTAACCTTCTCTGTCTCTCTTTACAGTTTTTGACTTTAATCTATTTTATGTAAGTGTAGCTCTTCCTGTTCTTTTTCCATTCCTGTTCATTTTTATGTTGCTATTGATGTCCCTCTCTGGTTTGAGGTCTTCTTTGTCTAAGTAAAAGGGGAGTCCCCAAATTTAATACACTGGGGTTGGTAGCTTCAACTCCACTTTTAATCTCAGACTGCCCCCTCAGGGATTTTTCTTCCTACAGGCAGTCAGGATGCCTCCTAGGAATTGAGGCCAGAATAGCATTCCTGCAAAGGACACCAAAACGGAAGAAAAGCTAGCATTCTACATTGCTCTCACATTTCACAGAGGAAACTGTGAGTCCAGGGGGACTTCTTTTTTCTTTTTTGTTTTTGGGATGGAATCTCACTATGTCCCCCAGGCTGAAGTGTAGCAGTGTGATCTCAGCTCACTGCAACATCCGCCTCCCAGGTTCAAATAATTTTCCTGTCTCACCTTCCAGAGTTGCTGGGATTACAGGTGCACACAACCACACCACCACCCCTCCCCACACCGTTTAATTTTTGTATTTGTAGTACAGATAGAGTTTCACCATATTGGTCAGGCTGGTCTCAAACTCCTGACCTCAGGTGCTCCACCTGCCTAGGCCTCCCAAAGTGCTGGGATTACACGTGTGGGCCATCGTGCCCAGCCAAGGGGGATTTTTCTACATGGTGCCTAGCAGCTTTGGGTGAGAGAAGTCCTTTAGTCTTTCCAGCTGCTCATACTTTTTCATTTCCTTGTGGCCCCACAGATCGTCACAGTCTCAAGTTTCATTTCTGGAATACTGTTTCTGATAATCTTATCTCTACACAGCTGTTTTAATTTTCTTTGCAGTAAAGTCAGACCACTTCTACTCCAGCATATTGCTGATATCACTCTCCCTTTGCCTATTTTTAAAAAATTGGGTTATTTGTCTCTTTGAGTTTTAAGAGTTCTTTGTTTTCATTAGATATTAGATGTTTATAAATAATTGATTTGGAAGTATTTTCTCCCATTCTATAAGTTGGATTTTCAAGTCCTGAATTCTGTACTTTGATGCAAAAGGTTTTTAATTTCAGGGAAGCCCAATTTATCTTTTCTTTTGTTATCAGTGCTTTTGGTGGTATAGCTAAAAAATTACAGCCAAATCAAAAGTTGTGAAGATTTATCCCTATAATTTCCCTGAAGGTTTTATAGTTTTAGCTCTTATCTTTAGACACTGGATACATTCTGAGTTAATTTTTGCATATGATGTG